CCTTGACAGATGCTGCCAGACCTGCTGAGCTTTTCCAGCAACTTTGTTTTTGTCCCTGATTTTACAGCATCCGCAGTTCTTTTGGCTCTTTCTTCTGTTTTCTCTGGAATTTAGAAGGTTAAGAGCTGATCAGATTAAAATCTTCAAGAAATTAACAGGAAAAGACAGGGTAGATAAAGATAAACTATTTCCACTGGTTGGGGATTCTAGAACTAGAGGCGTAGTCTGAGAATTAGGAACAGACCATTCAGGAAAGATGTTAGGAAGCACTTCTACACACAAAAGGTGGGAGAAGTTTGGAACCCTCTTCCACAAATGACAGTTGATGCTAGATCAGCTGTTAGATTTAAAAGCTGAGAGAAGTTTTTTTTTGTGAAGTAAAAGGGATATGGACCAAAGGTACATATGTGGAGTTAGGCCATGGATCGGCCAGATCAGGTTGAATGGCCTACTCTAGTTCCTATGTTCCTAAACAAAAATGTGTAGTGATTGTAATGAGATCAGCCAGGCGAACCTCATAGAATGAGTTCCCTCATTGGTCCAGGTTAACAGCCCAATCAGAGAGCCCTGACTGACAGATATAAACAGGGATGTCAGAGATTCTGTTCATTCCAAGAACTAGCTCTGAGGGAAGCAGACCAGCATCACATACTATGCATGTGTAAATAAAGAGTGACTTGATGATGAGATACTAGCCTCTGTGGAGTTCCTTCAAAATGTACCATAGGGATTTAAAAAAAATCATAGGTTCACCTAAACATTATTTCAATTCAACATCTATAATATTGGCCAGTCTGATAATACAGCACTGACCAATCAGCTAAGGACTCCACATCTTTATCCTGGACTAGGTTTAAATCCAAGAGATCCTGGAATCAGTCAGGGAGAGCCAAACCAACCATAAACAAGGAAGCAGGCAAAGCTCACAACTAAAATACAGCAAAAAACATTGAGAAAAAGCTTTGCTCTGAAACTTTGACAGGAACTAAGCATTGGAACACGATAAGTTGGAAGGAAAGGTTTGCTGGTGTCCCAATGCACAAAATCTCCCTCCCAAACTGGATGACTGAGCTCAGTTATAATTCTCAAATTATACTTAATATGGATAATCTAAGAACCAAGTTGTCGACTTCAAATGGATTTTCTACGTTTATGTGGAAAAAGACACACATTGGCACAGAATCACTGTGCAAAGACAAATTACTTACAAAAAAGGATTTTGCAAACAGTTGCAGAAAACCACCTTCAATTAAATAAAGAATCTAATTGTGGAACAGCATTACTTTATCACTTCCCTGAGCAACACAGCCATGGCGACATGTCATGTCATAATACTCTCAAACACTTCAATATTTGCTCAAATCAAAACATACTTTGCTCAAAAGACATAGATAGGCATTGATGTCATAATGCAATCAATACCAGGTTATCTGGATGAGCAACTGAGAAGGGGAAGCAATCTAAGAACCAAGATCTTCTGAATTGTTTGTAGGTCTTGCTGCAAAAGCAACTTCTCGAATTTCTAGAGAATAGGAATTAATCAAAGACACTGATCAGCAAAGTGCAATGAAGGAAAGGGATGCACAGGAAGCTATGCAGCCTTTTAAGTCTGTTCTATCATTTAGGTACATCATGGTGGATCTGTATCTTACCTCCATCACCCCACCCTGGTTTATAACTTGTAATATCCATGTCCAACAAGCAAATGACAAAAAAGCAAAAACACAAATTGGTTTTGAAATTTGAAAGAGAGCTTCAGATTGGTCTTGAGGAGTAATACTCGAAGTGGATCCAGGACTGTAGATATTGGGGTCAGGATTGATGGAGAGATCCACAGGCAAGACCTAAGAAAGGTACAAACTGAATGACGGAGGAGCCTATGAAGGTCAGCAATGATGGATGAATGACACACAGCTAAAAGGATTTACACACCAGCAGTACAATTTATGGAGGAAGGGAAAATAGAAAAAAAAGGATTTGCCATCAAATATTGGGAATGCTGGAGATTGGAAAAACAAACTGTGGGAGAAACACAGGTCCATCAACATGCATTGAGAGAGAAACAGAGTTAATGTCGAGACTGGTATAAATCTTCTTTAGAACTCTACACTGAAAGATCATGTTGGACTCAGGACATTGAATCTTTCTTTCGCTCTACAGATGTGGCCACTTCTGCTGAGTTTCTCTAGCACAAGTGAGAGTGCCATTAATTAATCCTCACTCAATATTCCCCTTATTCGGAATCAGACGTTTTTGTACTCAAGCCGTAATTCAAATATTCTCTTATGTGCAAGCAGAACACTGCAACACCACACAGTGCACCTGGCCTGCATCTCCTGCAATTGTTTAATGTTTAAGGCAAGCATCTGCAATAACTTCAAATAGAAGTCACATCCTAAGCGTGGCTACGTTTAAAGAAAAAAAATCTTGTAGCCAAATCAACACTCACCTCAAGTGCCAATAAACTCCAGCTAGGTTTACCAAACTTTTAACCACCTTAAAAAAAATAAGGTGAAGGGGAGAACAGGGGGAGATACTGGCAGATCAGTTGGTTGGATGACTATTGTGTGGTTTAGAATAAGACCACCGGTTCGGGTTCAATTCCCACACTAACTGAGATAGATTTGGGGGCTATCTCCAAAAGTGAAAGGCAACGGTAAACCACAGACAAAAACCTACCGAGGGGAGAACAAAGCAGCAGCAGCAGACAATGAGCTAATGATATGCCTTTGGGCAAAGCACTCTTGGAACAGAAAGACAACTTCATCCTAGCCAACACTTGATTAGAGCCACATTCTGTCACCATGAAAGAAAGATTGGTAGATTCCTCATTGCTCCAGATTATAAATGATTTCATCATCTTGTGGATCCTCTCATGATTGAAGAGTTTGGTATGAGATTGGCACAGACATCAACAGAACTGGCAAGCTCACGACTCCTGGGCATTATCAGCAACTGTGGCACCGACTTATGACCTTCATCTGGCTTTGGTGTAAGATGACCATCAAAATGTGCTGAACCAAATATCAGTGCTCACCTCCAGTTGATTACAGTGTTTTCCCAAGGTAGAAATGGTCAGCCATGCTTGTCCCACCCAGGATATGTCTGTAACATTTGTACTAACAACATTGATATTGTTTGCCCCAAAAGACAGCTCCAAAAATTTTTCACTGGGGTATTCTGTAAACAGTTATGCAGGATACAAAGTCTGCCCCACTCATGTTGACATTTCTGAAAGATGACCTTCATGCTGAGGAGCTCAGCACAGTGCATATTGCTTTTGTGTATTTTTGAATCAATCTCTTCAGACTGGCTATGACACCACTCTAAAGTAAGTGGGACTTGAACCTGGGTCTTCTAGCCCAAAGATAGGGACACTACCACTGCACCAGAACAGCCCAAGCACTTTGCCCTGTCATCGAATGTTCTTATGATGGCATGTTTGGTAGACAAATTCCAGAGCTTTGACTGGTGCCTATTGTAAACCCTTGATTCTACGCCATCCGTCAGGGTAGCAAGGTCTGGTAGAGTTTGACTTTAGCCTTCAGCTTGAATACCGTGCTGTTTCCACACAATCACAGAGCTAGCCAGGCATGCGACTTGGTTTTTGATTGTGTGAATACAGATATCTTCATCAGCATCCTGGAGAATGGGATGTGAACTTGGCATCCTTAGAGAACATTGTTCCAAGGCATCGGTCTCAATGCAGAGGATAATGTAGGTCTTCCTCATTCTGGTAGAAACAGCCTTGTGATGGGGACATTGACTCGGAGTCCAAAGTTTTTGACATGCCTGACATGCCATAGTATGGATGTCTCAGTGGATCCAATAAAAGTTAGTGGCTTATTATTATAAAGATAACATGTGATAATACCCTTGTCCCATTAGTTAAGATTAAATCATTGTTAATTTGTTATAATTGGTGATTAGTAAAGTGTGTGTGTGTGTGTGAATGGGAGGAAATAGAGAGCACATTTTGCACACAGTGGAGTTTTCTTGATGAAAAATTTGCCTCCCAGTCTTAATTAGGGAGATATTCAGAATGGGGGAATTTTAAGAAAGTGCAGTTTGACAACCTGTAACCATTCCGGGCTAGATTTCCACCCGTCTCAACATTTCCACATTAGCGATAATTAAATGCACCTCGCCTTTTTCAGCACCGCCGATCTCAATCCTTTACTAAAGAGATTGGTTCCAGTACCTGCACATTTCAAACATCACAAACGCACAAAATTCACAGTTGATCGGAAGTATGAGTGGCAGTGCCAGATTGTAATAATGCCACCCGCTTTACAGCACAGACTTAACCCCCTCATCTCGGAAACATTTCATAAAAACCCCTTCAACAATCTGACAAGTCCCGCGGCAGAACCAGACAGGCAACTGCTGTAAGGCAACTGGAGTAGCTTGGATTTTAAAAAAAATAAAGCAGCTCGTATCTCGAGCAGCACTGAACCGTATTGGAAAGTGTGTAAATGTGTAAAATTATCAAGCTTCATCCTTCTGCGCCGTGTCGCTGCCACTTTGAAACTGACAGACGGAACAGCTTCGTTGAGAACTGAAGAGTACCACACATTAACAAAAACTAGACACACTGACGATCTCCAATCAATCTCACCGCTACTACTGATTATAAAAAGAGATGTTCACGGACTGGAAAATAATCTAGGTCCTTTTTGAGAAGGGAGACTAAGCCTCAGCACAAATACACAGCAAAGTGTCATCTGAGAGACAGCTTGAACCTCGTGTCCATGGGTTTAACTGTGTTCCTCCCAGGGGGACAACAGCAGACAATATCAGCCGCGTTTACTCTCAAACACCACACAATCACTTTGTACGAAAAACAGACTCTGTTTAAAGCCAACTTACCAGCTGTAAACTGCAGAGTACGATTAACGTGCAGCGCCCATTGCACCTCCCCATGGTACCGAGCTCCAAGTCAGTGATAGCAGGGAAGATGAACCTGGAAATGGTTTTAACACTAGAACAGCCGGGGCTTAGTTGAGACTGACTCACGCCGAGCACCTCCTGCTGCTGGTCAGCATACTCCGTTCACCATTCACACAACGGCAAGGTCAGAGCTTGGGGGGTGGGGACCCTAGACAGACCTGGAGGGGTCCCTTTCTAGTCCGCTTCTCATTTCCTTCTCATAGTCCTGATGTTCAGACTTTGCCTCTTTTACAGCCTGCCACACCTTCAGATGTTGCTGTCCATTCTCTCTCTCCCTCTGGCAGCGGATCTACGGGTGCTGGAAATCTAAACACGCGTGTTGTTGAAGCTGAGCGGGTCCATGGCCCTCCCTCCAGCAGAATGGAGGCAGAGATTCAGACTGCAGCCGCTGCCCTGGGAAGATTACCCGTTCCCTTCCCCGTTTTAACTCGGCACCGCTTGTTCAAACACAGAACACAGGCTCTGCAGTCAAAAGATCAAACCACGTGGGCTCTGGGTGTGGTGGGAGTAATATTATCATCAATTCACACCATTCCTGGGGGGGTGGGGAGTCTGATTTTATACTCCCCTCATCAGCTCCTCTATTTCATTCTCCCCCTCCCTCCCTCCTTCCCAGTCACTCAGACATTCACCGTCTAACTCACATACAAGCCATTTAAGTTGTCACATCCCGTTTTGTCTCATTTCCCGGCCCCACATTTTGATTCGCTCCTATTTATGTTTAGCATTTTATTTGCATTTTCATCCCGTTCATCCCCTGAAACTCCTTCGCCCTTGATTACATCGTCTCCCAGCCACCGCCTTTAAAATGCAATCTTTCTTTCATTGTCAGATGGGTTTCTCCGCTTGGCTTTTCGGGGGATCTTTGTTTTCAGGCATTGGTTGCAGTTCCCTAGTTTAAAAAGACTCGCCCTGCGATCTTTGTTCTGTGTTCAGACAAGACGAGGAGTCTGCAAATTGTCATTGGAAATGTTTGTTGTTCGCACCAGGCGGCTTCAGCGGACAACGTGAATTCCTTTTGCAGTGACTGCTGACCTCTAGTGAGCAGGTTCAACTCAGAGCTCCCTCTGAGTGTATCCCAGAATGTTACCTTAAAAATGAAATCTTGATGAGGAAATGCTCACCACAGTACCAGAAGGATGTGGATGCTTTGGAGAAGGTACAGAAAGGGTCTAGACCTGAAACGTCAGCTTTCCTGCTCCTCTGATGCTGCTTGGCCTGCTGTGTTCATCCAGCTCTACACATCGTTATCTCAGATTCTCCAGCATCTGCAGTTCCTACTATCTCTATCACAGAAAAGGTTTACCAGGATGTTGCCTGGTACAGGGGATTTTAGCTATGAAGCGAAGTTGGATAGAAGAAGGGTCCTGACCCAAAACGTCAGCTTTCCTGCTCCTCTAATGCTGCCTGGCCCGCTGTGTTCCTCCAGCTCCACACCTTGTTATCTTGGATAGACTGGGTTTGTTTTCACTGGAAAACAGGAGGTTCAGGGGCAACCCAATGGAACTTTATAAGATTGTGAATGGCATAGACAGAGTGGAAAGTATGGGGCTTTTTCCCAGGATGGAGGAGTCAATTACTAGGGGACACAGGTTCAAGGTACACGGGGAGAAGTTTAAAAGAAATGTGCGAGCCACGTTTTTCACACAAAGGATGGTAGGTCCTTGGAACGTGCTGCCAGAGGAGGTGGTGGAAGCAGACACAATAACAGCATTCAAGAAACACCTGGATGAATACATGAATAGGAAGGGAATAGAGGGATATAGCTCCTATAAGTGAAGACAGTTTTAGTATGGAAGGGCAAAATGTGTCAGTGCAGGCTTGGGGGCCTGTTCCTGTGCTGTATTGTTCTTTGTTCTTTGTTGAAATGGAGACCATCACATATTGAGGTGGATGAAAAAAGGGCAGAAGTTCATCAAGTTGTATTGCTGGTGGGTTATAGGAAGGAGATTTAATGGGCAGCACACAAATTACCAGTAAGGGCTCATTTGAGATTAAGGAAAACTCAAGCCAAAATACAAAAACATTCTGAGAGAAGAGAGCTAGGGGAAAGGGGGAGAAAAGGAACTTCACTTTATCATTGCAAGAGGGATCTGCATTCATTTCTGTTATAGATACCATTTATCCATTCATTTTAAAAAATAAATAATACATACATCCAAATGGCTCAAGTAGGCCATTTGGGCCTAGCCTGTTCTGCCAGTCAATAAAGTCCTGAATGATCTGTTCACATTCCTGCCTCCTCCAGAAAGCCTTTCACCCCCTTTGCTTTTATTTAGGATCTCTCTGCCTTTAAAGTATTCAAGGACTCTGCTTCCATCATTTTGAAGAAGAGTTCAACAAGATTTGTCACCCTCTGTGAGAAAAGTTTTCTCCTCATCTCACTCTGAAATGGCTAATCCCTTCCTTATAAATAGTGACCCTAGGTTCTAGCTTCTCCCACAGGAGGAAACATCCTTTCCATACCCACTCTGTCAAGACTGCTCAGGATTTTGTGTGTTTCAAACAAGTCACCTCTTAATTCTCTAAACCGATGTGAACACAAATGGACAGCTGTCCAACTTTTCATCATAAGATAAACAGGCCAATCCAAATACTGGTCTGGTAAACCTTCCCTGAACTGCGTTCAATGCATTTCCATCCTTCCTTAAATAAGGTAACCAACACTGTACAAAGTACACCAGATGCAGTCTCATTAATGCTGTGTATAATGGAAATATAACCTCCACACTTTTGTATTCAATTCCTGTCACAATAAACAATAACATTCTATTTGCTTTCCTAATTACCTGCTGTACTTGTACACTTGGAGTTTACGATTCACATACAAGGACACCCAGCACGAAACTTTGCAATATTTTGTAATTATAATAATAAGCATCTGGTTTATTCTTTCTGCCATAATAGGCACTCATTTTTCCCACATTATACTCTATTTGCCAGATCATTTCCTATCTCACCCAATAGGGGGGAGGCGATGGCCTCATGTTATTATCGCTGGACTGTTAATCCAGAGACTCAGATAATGTTTTGGGGACCCAGGTTTGAATCCTGCCATGGCAGAGATTTGAATTCAATAAATATGTGGAATTAAGAATCTAATGATGACCACGAATCCATTGTCAATTGTCGGAAAAACCCATCTGGTTCACTAATGTCCTTTAGGGAAGGAAACTGCCATCCTTACCTGGTCTGGTTTACATGTGACTCCAGACCCACAGCAATGTGGTTGACTCTTAACTGCCCTCTGGGCAATTAGGGATGGGCAATTAATGCTGCCTAGCCAGCGACGCCCTCATCCCGTGAATGAATTTAAAAATCTATCTCTATCCCATTGTAGCCTGCTTACATCCTCTTCACAACTTAGTTCCTCTCTCCTTTCCATTCCTGAATTATAGCGACTTTTAGGATGTTCATAGTATCCTCTACAGTGAAGAACAATAGAAATATCTGTCCAATTCATCTACCAGCTACTTGTTTTCTCTTATTAATTCCCAGTTTCACTTTCTTTAGGCCAATGTTTACTTCAATTCTTTTTATTTTTAACTATCTTTGGAAACTCTCATAATCTGATTTTTAAAAATATTTCTAGCTATCTTTCTGTGATAGCCAATGTTCCCCAGATTAATATTTTAGTCAACTGTTACTATTTTTATATTCCACCTAACTTTCTGACCTGTCACCTATCTGTGCAATTACATGTATGACAATAGTATGACTTTAAGAAGTGTATTTTGCCCTGGTTCTTTTTTATGAAAAAACATTGAGACAGAGGTGACAAGTAGTTTGCTCCAAAGCCAATGAAGTAAACAGCTTGTAAGGCCTTGTTTCTTTTTTTAAAATTAGAACAATAGAAGTAGCCTGAATGGGTGGGGTCAAGCTTCCGCTCATCCAAGATTTCTAGTTTTAGCTTTCTGCAGTTGCTGGGGTTTTGAAGCTGGATGTGGAAGCTCTTATTCCTCTCTCTGTTACAGCTAAAAGTTGGGATTCTCTTCTAGCTGCTAGAATTGCATGTGAGACAATCTATTTTACTGAATTTGCCTTTGCCAAGGGTTTGTTTATGGGATGTTAACATATTGGAACAGTTACTAAGCAGTAATTTATATAACCATTATTTTGTTAAGCATTTCGATAGTTACAGTTAAGCCAATTATTTTATTTTATTTTTATTTTGTCTATATGTCACTTATTGTGTATGCAGAAAGTGCGTTTTGTTTCATGCCTGGTAGTTTGACCAATCAAATTGCATCCAGAACACTACACTTTACACTTCCTAAAGTAAGAAAAAATTAGGGTTTGGATTATCTTCTTAATATATTTTGAGGAGGTTCGATCTGGTTCATAACAATCACATGGTGAAATAATGTGGGAATAAGCTGGGAAGTACTAATCTAATTACACATGATGTAGATATAGGAAATGCTGTTCCAATTAAGCAACATCCTTATGGACTTAACCCTCTAAAGTTGGTGCAGCTTCAAAAAGAGATTGAACGCATGTTCAAAGACAACAAAATAAAAGGGAGTTGCAGCAAATGGAGTTCACCCATAGTAATGTGTGGATTATCACAAGTCAATGCAGTTACAAAATCTGATTTATATCCTATTCTACATTTGGAAGACTGAATTGAAAAGGTAAGACAAGCAACTTATATTTCTAAGTTGGACTTACTCAGAAGTTACTGACAGGTACCTTTATCAGAGAGAGTGAAGGAAATTTCAGCTTTCATGACACCGAATAGACTGCACCAGTTTATAGTCATGCCATTTGGTGTGAAAAATGCATCAGCCACATTTCAAAGACTAACTAATAAAGTCATTTCGGGATTATCCAATTGTGTGGTATACGTCAATGATCTGCTGATTTTTAGTCACACATGGAAGGAACATTTGCAGCATCTATCAGAATTGTTTGATGGACTTTGGGAGGCGGGCTTGGTGATAACCTGGCTAAGAGTAAGCTCGCAAAAGCCCAAGTCACGTGGCAAATAGCCCCATGGGATGTGAAATCAAAGGTTATTGGGGAATTTCCCATGCTATCAACAAAGATGGAAATATTATGATTCCTGGGATTGAATGGGCTTTATCAGAAGTTCGTACCGAATTTTAGTTGTTAACAGTTAAGCCAATTCTTTCCTTTTCTTTTTATTTACTCTGTATTTTAACTGTAATGTAAAAATAAAGTATGGTTTGCTCAAAGTTGAGTGGTTTGACCAATCAAATTGCATCTGACACTTGCCTCTAAAATAAGGAAAATTTAGGATCTAGGCTATTTTCTTAATATATTTTGAAGGGGTTTGGTCTGGTTCATAACACATGCTTTTTCTTTAAGTTTGATACTAGCCATAAACTTTTTAGCTAACCACTGATGATAGGTTCTCCTCTTGGATTTATTTTCTTTTTCACTTCCATGTATCAATCATGTGCATTCCAAAGCATCCCCTTAAATATCTGCTGCCATACATCTATTGACCTAACTAATTTTCCGGGTCATTTTAATTAGCTGTATTTTTGAGCCCTTATAATTCTCTTATTTAAATTTGAAAAAGCACTCTTCTTTCTCTCAAACTGAACATAAAATTCAATCACATAATGGTGGTTGTTGATTAACGGTGTCTTCACTATGACAGCATTATTCCTATCTTGTTCTGCAATAGTACGTCTAGTGTAGTCTGCTCTCTAGTTACCTTTCTAAGAAACTGTCAGGAAATCATTCTATGAATTTAACCAGGCTCCTTTGCTCGTCTGACTTTTCCAGTCTATGCAAGTAAAAATCCCTCGTGATTACTGCTGTACATTTGTAATAAACCTATTATTTCTCCCTTTATACTCTGCCTTACTGTGTGGATATGTTAGGGGGCCTATACATCACATCCACCAGTGACTTCTTATCTTTCTCATTTCTCATCTCTAACCAAGATAGCCTTCCTCATTTAATTCCACAAAACCATAAGATATAGGAGCAGAATTAGGCTATTCGGCTGATATGTTTCTCAACCCCATTCTCCTGCCTTCTCCCTGTAACCCTTTATCCCCTTACCAGTCAAGAACCTATCACCGACATAAATTCACTCAATGACTTGGCTACCGCAGATCTCTGTGGCAATTAATTCCTCAGAGTCACCACCTTCTAGAAATTCCTCTTCATCTCAGAGTCATCCCTTCACTCCGAGGCTGTGCTTTTGGGTCCTAATCTCTCCTACTATTGAAAACAAGTTCTCCATGTCCACTCTATCCAGTATTCTGTAAGTTTCAACCAGATTCCCCCTTGTCTTTCTAAACTCCATTAAGAACAAACCCAGAGTCCTCAACCCCTCCTCATATGACAAAGCCTTTCATTCCTGAGATCTTTGCTGTAAACCTCCTCTGGGCTCCCTCCAATAGCAACACATCTTTTCTTAGATTATGGGGCCAAAATCAGCTCACAATATTCGAAATGCAGTCTGACTAGAACCTTATATAGTCTCAGCAGCTCTTAAATTCTAGCCCTCTTGAAATGAATGCTAACTGTGCATTTACCTTCCTAATTGCCAAATGAACCTGCATGTTAACCTTAACAGAGCACTGAACTAGGACTCCTGAGTCCCTTTGTGCTTCGGATTTCTGAAGCCTTTCTCCATTTAGAAAACAGTCTATTCCTCTATTCTTCCTACCAAAGCATATTCATTTAAAAAGCACCACAGCAACAACTGGAATTTATTGCCATTTGTTTTAAACAAGATGATCCCAATCTGCAAAATAAGACAAACTCAACAAATATTTTCCGAACCAATCAGTTCAGAGATGTATATTACACAGCTCCAGAGCAAGTGGGACTTGAACCCGGATACTCTTGATTCAGAGGTTGGGACACTATCACTGTGACACAAGAGCCCCAACACAAACTCAAGATTTCTGTAGTCATTGATTCAGTTTGCTTGATTGTCTGATTTCCATTTGAAAGTCTAATGAGCGTGTAATAATTTGATTTGATTTATTATTTTCACATGTATCCTAATGAGATAACACAGTGTAGAGCTGGAGGAACACAGCAGGCCAAGCAGCATCAGAGGAGCAGGAAAGCTGACGTTTCAGGTCGGGACCCTTCTTTATAAATGCCGCCTGGCCTGCTGTGTTCCTCCAGCTCCACACTGTGTTATCTCGGACTCCAGTATCGGGCAGCTGTTACTATCTCTGAAACTCCCGAATGTATTGTCTTCCTGACTCCCTACAGCTTCTGCAGCAAATGGAAAATAAGGAACAGCCACTCGTGGGAATTTGGGAGGCACGTGCACTCATTAGGAGGGAGATAAAGCAATGAAACCAAGGTTTGGCGCTGAGGAATCTTCAGAAACAGCTGATCTCAGGAGGTTCCACACCAGGTTCTTTAGCTTTTTGTTCTGGGATTCTAGAACGATAATTCTGTGACTCTCGAAGCATCTTTCAACACACCTCCCAAAAAGTGTGTGTGTGTGTGTGGGGTGGCGAAAGAGAATCATGGTCTTCCCTGCTGCCTGAATCTGAGCTGAGGTTAACCATCACCAATGTCGTTCTGGTGTGGAGTTTTATTTGCGGTAACCACAGTTTTCTCACTGAACGTGCTGTACCACGACTTGTTTGTCACTGAGCCCAAAGATCCCACTGTTCCGAAGGGCTTCCTCTTGGATTCACTCCACCCTCCCGCTGGAAACTGGGTCGCTCCCAAAGACCCCAAGAGCTTGGATTTCATTAGCTCACCCGAGTTCAAGATCCACCAGCCCTTCACTGCCTTGCTACCTGCTAAACAGGCAATCGAAATTCAGTTTGAAGTAAGTGTCAGGTTTGTTTTTAATGGGGTGGGGGTGGTGGTGGTGTGTTGGTGTGTGGTTAGGAAGGAACGATTGTGACATGAATTTCACTTGCATTCATCCGACACTTTTTATTCTATTTTTTTCAATAGAAGGAGCTCCCAAAGTTGATACACACCAACTGCAGCCACTTGAGTGGGGTGGGAAAAATACCGCCAATGCTTTTTTGGCACAGCAGTATCCCACAAATCACAGCATGCTGGAGCAACTCGGCCGTTCTGGCGGCATCCGTGGAGAGAGAAGCAGTTAACGTTTCAAAGGTAGTAGGAACTGCAGATGCTGGAAAATCTAGGACAAGGTGCAGAGCTGGATGAACACAGCAGGCCAAACAGCATCATAGGAGCTGTAAGGCTGATGCTTTGGGCCTAGACCCTTTGCATTTGACTTTTTTTTTTACCCACTGGCGAGATGTAGGTGTTGCTGGCTGGACCAACACTCAATGCTTATTCCCCCTTCACCCTTGAGAAGGTGGGGAGCTACTGCCTCTGAACAGCTACAGTTTGTTTTAGGTAGGCCCATAATTCTGTTTAAGGTGGGAATTGACTCTTCACAGTTCTTCTAACACTTCAATGTCATACTGGACACAAAACATTAGCCTGGTTTCTCTTTGCACAGATGCTCAACCTCCTGAGTTTCTCCAGCACTTTGTTTCAGGTTTTCAGCATCTATACACTGTTTTGCTTTAACCCAAGATCCCACAATAGGCCAGGAAGCAATTGCTTCATTCCTGTTGGCTCTGACCACCTGCCCTCTCCTCCAAATGGGTGCAATGGCACCTCAACATTTTTGAGTTGACCAGGAGAAGCAGGGAGTCTCACCTGGCCCAAATCCCTTTGGCACCTAGGACAAAGGCATCAGCATTACTATTATCGAGAGAGTTGGTTAGCTTGGATGGCTGGTTTGTGATACAGAGTGACCCCCAACAGTGAATGACCAGATCCCATTCTGACTGAGGTCAACATAAAGTCCCTGCCTTCTCAGTCTGACCCTTCACCTGAGGCAAGGTGACCTTCTTATTGAACTCACTACTAGTAGCCTCTTTGTGTCTCCAAAGAGAGAGCAGACCCCAGCCGTCTTTAACTACGATCTGTTTCACATCCAGTAGGTCAACTTTCTTGACTGAAGAATTAAAGTTTCTCATATCCAAAGTAATGCAAATGAAACATTTTCATAGCAATATCACAGAATTGCAATCTGTTAATTCTTTTAGTCTTGCAATACCTCTGAATGGAAATGTGTGAATAGGAGCCATTGTTACCCGAAAATCTTTACAACAAAGTCTCTATTAACTGCTCCAGCTATAAAGCCAATAAAAATAGCCACTTAAAATGATTTGGCTCCTTCGGTTAATCAAAGATTCCAAATCTGTAGATTAGTTTGATAAAGTCCAAGCATGAAAATGCACAGCTGACTGAGGTGAGCAGTAAGTGGCCAAGGAGACTGTTCAATAATAGAATTGAATTTGGTGGAGCCTGATAAAGTAACAATGGAACATTTTACAGCTGGATTTACATCAAATTTGTTATTGAGTTGTGGTACAGTTCAAAATGGTCTGGTTGATGCTGCATTTTCAGATGTAAGGAATCATTAATTCTGGTAATCAGCAATGTCAGTTTCTAAGTTTCATCAATAACATAGACTGTGTCATACATTCTATGCAGCAATAATTTCCAGAAACTCAGTATGGCTAAACACTGCCACAAAATGTATTTGAAGTTATGTAATTGGGTGTCAATGTTGACATAAATAACCAAGGACATCTGGTTCATCAAGCATGTTCCTTCCACTGTTTGAGCACAAGCCAATGATGAATTACAGCTCCAGAAAGCTAGTCCAGATACTTTTCCTTTGACCTTAGAAAAACAATGAAACCAAGGTCCCAAATATTAATACAGTACTAGTGTGCAATACCAGCCCAGCTGAGAGAGAAGTTTATGGTATCAACTTCTAATCAATATTTTACTAATGATTCTGACCAGACAAACCATGCAGACCTGTGGGTATTGTAATGTTGGAATTACAGTCCTTGAGACCCTGAATGTTAAAGATCTTGTAGATCCATTTTGATGTAGATTAGGAAGTTCTCCAGTTTTCCTGGTCATTATTCCTTCCTCAATCAACATTTCTGAATGTCAGTGTATATTTCCCATCCCACATTGCCCTTGAGAAGGTGGTTTTTGAGCTGCCACCTTGAACTGTATGGTATAGGTATTGTCAGGTGGGGATCAGCATTTTATCTCCATCATAGTGAAGGAATGGTGATTGATTTCAGAATGATGTGTGACTTGGAGGGAAACCTGCTTCATTTCCATGTGGCTGCTATTGTCTAATCTCAGTGGTGTTTATGGATTGCCATGAATACAGTTGACACAACAATTCAAAGGCATATTATTAAAATATATCATTATACATTAGATATTGTACTGAAAAACCAAATCTTAAATCCTGACAGCCATAATCATGGTGTGACCTGTGACCTGTGCCCTTTAATTTAGCAGCTGGATTCATTTTTTCTCCCCACATCATCATCTTCTCATTGTTATAAGGTGTCAGAAGAAGAAACAACTGACAATGATGGAGAACCTCTTGCAGAGACTGGTCTAACAGTTGTAGAAACAGATCTACCTGTCAAAAATACTGAACAAGCAATTTTGGACATTATAGAAATTGTGGAATTAGAAACAGATTTGGAAGTAGACTACCATGATGATGTGAGTATTCTGATTTGAAGAGATTGGATCCTTTTCTTGCCCACTTGCTCCACCTGACATGTTTGTGATGCCACCTGCCTGTTGTGCTCCTGTCTCTTTCTTCCCCCTCTACATCACTGCTTTAATGACTTTGCTTTTCTGGCTGTGTTCTTATTCACCTTTTCAGCAAGACATGGTGACTTGACCCGCAATGAGATGGGAATTGCAAAGGAAGGGTGGACTTCAGTGGTTTCCCTTTCTGATGGATCCTATTACCCCTGCCCCATCATTCCAAATATGTTCCTTACCACTTCACCTTCCTATAAAACATTCCTCTGTCTACCCTCACTAACTTCCTTTCCTACTTGGTATGTCGTCACTCATCTATCATTAGCTCTCTGTCCACTCTTGCCCTTCCATTAGTCACCACCTACACTCGAGTGGATCTTGGGAAGCCAAATACTGTTTCACCAGCAATCAGTTGTTTTAAACTCTTCTCTACTACCTTTTTTCTCCCTCTGCTTTCCTGAGGAGTTTTGTTTGTTTCCAACCTTTATTTTTAAGAAAACTGACATTTTCCCTGTCCCGTACATGTGAGAAATTAGAATACTTCATAATCAGAATTCAATGAACTTTACCAAATTCCAGTAATCGGGTTGGCTTCACCATTTAACTATTCTGAGAATGAAAATAACACTTGTACAAAGAAATGCATATACACACTTGCTGACCGTACAGTAGAAGTGTGTTGGGCCCATTACCCAGAGATCAATGGATCAAAACCATTATCTGCATCCATTTACATTTGGGAGTAGCACCTGCCAATTTCTCCAACTTGATAGGGCTGTTGTGGTGCAATGGTAGTGTTTGTACCTTTTGGGTTAGGAGGCCTGGGTTCAACTCTCTCCTACTCCAGAGGTGTGCAATTACATAAATAGCAGCAGAAGTAGGCCATCTGGACCTGTTCTCCTAGCCAATATGGTCGTGGCTGATTTATCCAATTCAATACTCTGTTTTCACCTTCTCCCCATATCTCTTTGATCCCTTTAGCCCTAAGAATTATATTTAAATGTTTTCAAGAACATGTCAATGTTTTTGCCTCAACCACTTTTTGTGGCATAAAGTTCCACAGGCTCACCACTCGCTGAGTGCAGAAATTTCCCCTCATCTCAGTCCTAATTGGCTGAACATATCCTTAAACTGTGACTCCTGGCTCTGGGTTTCCAGTCATTGGGAACATCCTTCTTGCATTTATCCTGTTTAGATTTTTATCTCTGAACAGGTTGTTTGTTTATTTTTCAGTAAACATAGGAGTTTGTTTTCTCTTGCCCACTTCTTCTTCTGACCTTGGGTGCCTCTTTCTGCTTAATACACTTCCCAGATTTTAATGAACATGAGTGCTGCGGTAGATGGATTTTCAGAGCATCTTCATTATTATCTTGCTCTTGATTTGACTCGCACACCCATCTTCCCTTTTTTTGTTTAAAAATGTTAATTTTAACTCACTAAAGCTGTTTAAATTTGTCCTGTTGTTTTTTATTTTAAATCAAAATTGCTTGAATAAAAGCTCTGAAGCATGAAGTGCTGGAAGGCAAAGAATAATATCCCACCAGTACAACTGACTGAATGTAACACATCCTGAGAAATTAAATAAGCTTTGCATGGCTAGATTGCACAACCCAAATTCATTGCATAGTGCCAAGATTTAGGGGGAAAAATATCAGTCCAAGCACAGGCTTTGGAGAAAGTTTGAGGCATTTCCAATAATAATGCTTAACTAAAGGATTTAATTTTTTAATAAATGGGGCCTAATGGAAGGGCAAGAGTGGACAGAGAGCTAATGATAGATGAGTGATGACATACCAAGTAGGAAAGGAAATTAGTGATGGTAGACAGAGGAATGTTTTATAGGAAGGTGAAGTGGTAAGGAACATATTCGGAATGATGGGGCAGGGATAATAGGATTCATCAGAAAAGGGGAAACCACTGAAGTCCACCCTTCCTTTGCAATTCCCATCTTATGGATTGAAACGTCACTCCTGATGTGTTGACCGTATAATCTCATCTGAAATTTTGTAGAAACACAAAGACCAAGGAAGTTCCTCACAAAGATTGAGCAATCTCTCTGGTGCAGAGTTTCACTTTCCCCAATAGCAGTTCAGTTCTGAGCCAAGTCAAGGGTATCTCTAGGCACATAACAGCAGTGATATCAGTACATACAGTAAGCAGCTAATCATATTGACATATGCTGATTGCCCAAAAAAAAACTAGAGGCACTTAATTTAGCCTAAAAATGAAGAATAGATAGATAACAAAATAAACAATTATGATTAGCTTTATATGAAAGCTAAACCATCTATATTAAAAAACATTATTACAGCCATAGATTTGGACCTTTATTGTAATGAAGAAATTTTATATTCTGCAAATACACAAGTTGTTTTTCAAGGCCAGTGAGGATGTTGGTTCATAATTATGAAGGTTGTTATGCTATTATAACCCTAGTTACATCTCATCTGATGAAGTTTTTACATTATAGTAGCAACTTAAAAGTTGAGGTTTCATGAATTTACTGGTTCATTAGGATTACGTTCCAAGGCATCTCAACAACACATTCCACCAGGGGAGCGTAGAGCCACACACTGACTTCAAGATTTTCCCTCTGCTGTTGCCAGTTTCAGAAAATGACTGACAGTGAATATAAATACTTCCTCAATCATAACTACAGCATAGCCCAGGCAAGGCTTGAAGGGTTAACCCCTCTTTCATATAAATTTCAGTAGTGAGAGAAAATGACAGGTGGAAGGTGAAGACATTCAGGAGATCTTATAAAACAAGTGGAGTAGCAGTGGCCAGATTGACAATGTCATGGCGATGCACAATGATGGTAAAATGGCAGCTATTGTCACACTGTTGCGAGTGAAAATACCCAATACTAACTGCAGTGAAATGCAACACACAATTTAAGATATAGAGGCTCTTAAGCTCTTTTGGCTAAGTGAGAGTTTTTTTTGGATTCATTCACACTGCAATGCCAAGCAACATTTTTTGCCACATCTTCCCAAAAGCACCTTATTTACCACCTAGCCCAGCCTCCTAACAGCTCTCATATGTGACTCTCTCTGTATCTCATGAGGCGTTGTTCCTGGATCAACTTGGCACTCACTGAACATCCACCAAATTACCAGCACTTGCACACAAACTATTTTTAAAAGGGTGCTCTGCACTTTACCAAATGTTGGCTATCCAGCATTGCCCCTCACTTTGGCAATGTCATGGCATATAGCCAGCATGCCTGACACTCCCTGTATATACAACTCTATTCTCTCACCCCATGTCACTGTTTAAACACACCAGCGCTCAGTTTACCTGCCCTGGGCTGCTTCCTGTCTACCTGTGTGTCCGCAGCAGACCCACAGCTGGTCATTGTCCAGTAAGGGGGACCTCACACACAGGCAAGCAAACAAACAATTCCAAATATGAGCTTTTATTGACAGCCACCTAAAGTGAACACAAACCAAACCATTAGCAACTACAGTTCACCTCCACAATGCAGATAAAATGCTGGCATCATGGCCAACAACTTTTCTACAGTCCATGATGGCGTTCTGGCTGCCATCAACGGGAACTGAATGTCAATCAGGTCTTGTCTGGCTTGAAGCATCTGTTCAGCTGACCTCTGTCATGGAGAAGAAGTCCTTCTTCCAGCTCAGTCTCCTTCCACCTCCTCCTCCGATGACTTCTCTCATTTCCTCAGCATCTATCATATTGCCTCATTCCTGTGCAGAGCACAGCAAGCTAGTATAGTGTGAGACACTTTGTCTGGTTAATACTGGAGAGTTTCCCTAAAGCAGTTCCAAGCTGTGGAATTGGATGTTCAGCATACGTATCATCTGCTCCACTGTGGTCCTTGTCACACCATGTTCACCAGCTTGGTGAAGGTGCTGTGTCGGCTGAGTGATCAATATATTGTGTCAGAAAGGGAGAGCCTGCTGTGCTCCAACTCCCTTCCCAACCTGGTCCCAAATCCAGTACAAAATCTGTCACTGCATTCAGTACAGACCATCATCATATGTACATGAAATATGAAGCCATTCTTCCTTTGTCCTATAGCATCCTTGCAAGTGATGGGACACTTTTGGCCAACATTTGCCTCCTTTCAAGTCATTGCCATCTCAGTGATGCAGAAGTTAGTGGTCATGTTTGATTTTCAAACACCAATGACATGATGCAAATTGCATTTGACACGTAAGCACATTCATGCTGAATGCATTGCATTTGGTCAATGTTTACAAATGAAATGGAGCTGAAGTTTGCAAGGCAACACTTCATGTCGTTGCCCTTTCAGCTGAATATTACTGTGGTGAGTTGCAGCGTAATTCCTCTTAATTAGAAATTCGCTATTGCCTCATGAGAAAATCACCTTGCTTCTTGGCAAATTCAACAGGTTGCTCCCAATGTCAAGATGGGCATCCATGGTCCTCTTACCCAATTCTGCCACATCTCACCATTGCTAACTTCACTCACACCTCTGTAAGATTCCGTCTGTAAGATTCATTGTTTCACTAACACAGTGTGCTAGTTCCAAGCATTAAAAGAATGATTGGCCCATTATATTGCCAGTTTCTCCTGTTGTGCAGGCATTCTTAATTTTTAAAGTTAAATTGTTGCTTTGGGATTCCTTGTAGTTTTCACTAACTTATTTAAAGGCACTTATTAGGAAGCCAGTGATTGTAAACTTGGCTAAAGTATGAGGTTGTTGACTTGCTCGCGGAGCTGGCTTGTTTTTGTTCAGACGTTTCGTTACCATGCTAGGTGACATCATCAGTGGAGCCTTTGATGAAGCGGTGTTATTCTACTCCACTTGGAATTTAAACTGTCTGGTCTGTAATGGTGAGTTCTGTCATTTTGGTTTTGATCTGTATGGGTTTATATATGGGGTCCAATTCTATATGTTTGTTGATTGAAGTGTGGGTGGAGAACCATGCCTTTAGGAATTCCCTATGTTTGACTTGGGCTAC